TTTTTTTTTTTTTTTTTTTTAAATTTATTGCATTGTCTTGGATTCATGTTATTGTAATGTTTTTAAGAATTATTTTTTATTCTTTTTTTTTTCCTTGGGTTGCTGGCCATGATATACAGCAAATGTATGATGAAACTTTGGGTTTATTTTCATGCAATTTTCACTAGGCTGGAGCAGTTATGATTTATGATAGATATGATAACACAACTTAGCAGTATTCTTCATTTGATGAGTTTAAAATCCCATTAACAAAACAAAACTGCACTTGCACATAATAATTTCCAAGAAAATAACACCCGAAAGCGTGTTCAAGTGCACTCAACTCAATTTCTGCAGTTTACTATCAAGAAAAAAAAAATGATACTGTGATTAAGCAGAAATAGAAAGGGAAACCAATGGTTCAGATCAACCCACATTCACAAAAAAAATAGTGCAAATATTCAGATTAACAGACAAGTGAAGCGAACATTGATCATGAAGGAAGATAAATGCAACAAACAAAGCTTCATTCGATAGATGCAATGTTCGACTCCGCGCACCCTCAAAGTTCCCTTAATTTGCATTCTGACCCCTGTTTTGCTGATTAGAGTGTGAATTTTCTCTTTGCATTGGCTCTCTCTGGACAGGCATTGTCTCACGACGTCTATCGTGCCTCGGGCGGGGCCGTCTGCTCGTGTTTTGTCTCTCAGTAAACCTATATTGTGGCCTGTGAATGACTTTCCCGTCGACAAAGAGATCGCCTGCAAACAAAATTTCACTAACTCTGTCTTAATGACATAAAAAATAACCTTCGACTGTTATGAAAGTACTTTCATATATAAAATTCTGCTAACCTCCATAGTCCTTATTGGGAACATCGAGATATGAATCGGGCAATACCCACAGAACACCCGGTAGACCTATTGTTTATGAAAAACAATGCACAAGTGTCAACTAATTGGGTCGACCCCAAAACAAGACACATTTAATGATGATCGAGTGAACATCAAATGAAAGCTGAATCGTCTTATGCAACAAAATTTCCAATTGGCCGAACCGTGAAAATATAAAAATAAACCAAAATACCAAGAAACTGAAAGATTGAACAAGCTGACACTTTAAAAATTAGCCAAATATTCTCAAGACTGGAAAAGTATGAGCCAGGAGATTCCCATTACCTTTGACTTTGTATGAAAGCTCCTCTGAGATCAATGCTCCGAATCCAGTATACGTTGTTGTACAAACAGAATATATCTTTTGCTTTGCTTCCTCTTCACTACATACATACCCAGCAAAACAACAAACATGCATAAATCAACTTCCACAAAATACTGTTCTCATTAATCAAACCTTTCAAGAAATATGAAGTAATAGACTGGCCCCGTTTCCCATTCACAACAAAATTACAAAATCAAAACTACTTTCTTCCTTAAACTTTTTTGCCCATTAGTTCGAAATACCAGCCATCTTGTTCACTTCTCTAAGACAACTAATTGGAACTTATAAATTTATGCTTTAAATCGTGTTCGTCAATCAATTAAAAAATGAAACCAGACAACATGATGCACCAAAAAGAAAAACACCTAACATGTAGTATCACCTATCAACTTCCAAGAAATTTTCGACTTGCTATGTTGCGATATTAACATTTTGAATCTTGCCCCAGTGAATGGAGATTAATGTTTCATCCCAAGACTCCTCATCAACAGTCCCACAATCAACCTACTATAGACTAAAATTCCTACCTCTTGAATCAGGAAAGTAGGGCCATTCATATCCTTCCACATAATCAAATCATGTGAGTTTTCAATAACAGAACACAATTACAATACATGGCTATCAGGACAGAGGATCATACTCCACTCATATTCTCCAATTTGTTCAAGATTCGAAATTTTAAGAGAAAAAAATGAACTTAGAACTAAAACGAAATCGAAATCAGTTCTTTCACAGAATAAATAATATAGAATCCGTTTGCCCTTTACCTTCCAACAACCGAAGCTAGGGTTTTGACATAGGCATCAATCATCTCTTCTTCAGTGGGCTTAGGGTCAGAATTGAATTCCATCACAATGAGCCAATGCTCGTAATCACATCCATCGAGGAGAATCGTATCCTTCGGCGGTCGGTTGCTCCAGTTTGGAGATGGGTCGTTCAGTGGGGAATAGCCCGGCCCGGATGTCCTCAGTCGAGTTTGAACCGTGAACCGATCCACAAGAGGTTGCTGCCCGCCTTGGTTCTGAATGTGAATTAGCATGGGAACAGCTAGACGAGACCGGCGGGATAGGAGGGAAGCTAACGTGCGCCGGGTGGCGAAGAGCAACGCCGCCATGGACGATGAGTAGAAAGAGGTGTAGTCTGTGGAAAATGGTCACACCGTTACAACCAAACACGCCCTTAAAGGAAAAGAAGGGATTAAGGTATGTTTATAATTTAAATTTATTATAAATTAATGGGAAATGCTACACTCCCGTTACGGAACTATTTTATTGGAATTTGTAACAGTTAAATCATTACGTAATCGTCGTGGATAGTTGATCTAATAATTACAAACCCCGATGGAATGGTTCCGTAACGAGACTGTATAATTTCCTTAAATTATAAATCTATATATATATAATTACTAGTCAATAGCATTTAATAAAACCTATTTAATAAAACCTCTAACTTTTTTCCCTCCATTTTCGGTTACAAAATTTAACATTAATAATTTTTACTTCCCACATTAATACATCATATTAAGTGTAATCATGTATGTTTCTATTATATTATATAATAGTTATTGCTAATACTAACTAATGATAATTCACAATAAATATAAATTACATAATTATAAACAATTGTTTCAAATTATGTATTTTAACATCAATATTATATTTTTCTTTTGTAGCTCATAAAAATATTTCTTTAAAAACAATTAGTATATTGTTTTAATAGCATAGTTAAACAACTTTAATATCTTACAAACAATTGTTTTTTAATAATATATATATATAATTGCTAGCTAATCATTAAATAAA